TGGACAGAAAACGGAGCGGTCGGAGGTTGGAAAAGGGGGAATAGGAAACGAGGGTATTCATGTGTACAGAGAAAGGAGTAGGTAAATGTGAAGTAAAGGTAAGAAGCAGAGATTGTGGGATAGTTAGTTTGGTAAGGGAAAGTTGGTGGAATTGAGCATCGCATCGAAGAGAGAGAAGGGCTCGGCTTCGAAAGAGAGATGGCATGCCAGACTCGGTACAGACTCTCAACTGGAGAGGAGCGGAAGGCACCTAGGGCTAAGCGGAGATTGCAGTGGTGGATTGTATCAAGGTGACCAAGAAGGGAGGTTGAGGCAGAGAAGTAGATATGGCATCTATAAACTAGAGTGAAGAGGATCAGATAACATGAAGTTGGAGGAGAGTTTTGCTATCTGAGCCCCATAAAATGTGGGAAAGAGTTTGCAAGATTTGGAGGAGGCCTTGAGCTTTTTCTTTAATGTAAAAGACATGGTTTTGGCAGGACAATTTGGAGGCAAAAATAACGCCTTGGAATTTGCCAGAACGATATTAGAGTGGAGCGTTATATAAAAAGAGTGGAAGTTGGGACCTACATGTGAGCGAGAGAAAAGGATGGAGAAAGATTTGGAGATAGAAAAGCAAAAGCCATGGTTAGTGGCCCAAGAAGATGCTGATGTTATCGTAGACTGAAGGAACTGATGGAGATCTGCTATGGATGTGCCAGAGGCGTGGATGGTTAAGTCATCAACGTGTGGTGATGCCCGGGCTGGTGGTGGTAGGACTGACACAATGTCATTTACAGCAAAGAAGGAATAAAGTGGTGCTAAGCACACTTCCTTGTGGGACACTTCGAACTGAGGAAAGGATGATGACATGGAAGAGGCAATTTTGACCTGGAAAGTACGTTTGGAAAGGAAAGATTTTATGAAGACACTCATGTTTCTATGTATGCCTAGGGAGGACAATTGATAGAGAATATGGAATAGAGAATATGCAGATATGATATATGTCTCAAAATGGGCAAGGGTGTCTGCTGTACTTAGGGCAGAGCGGAAACCAAACTGGAAGGAGAGGGGAGATTGTGAGATTCAGTATACCACATTAAGCAGTAGTTAACCATTCGTTCTAGTAGCTTGCACAAGCAGCTAGTTAGAGTGATGGTACCCGATTTATGGGTTTCAAGAAAGGTAGGATAAGAACTTCTTGCCATTAAGAAGGGAAATTTCCCGACGTCCATATGTGGTTGAAAATAGTCAATAGGAAGAATAGAAAGGTGGTGTTGCAGCAGGACTGTAATGCAGCATTGAGTTCAGAAGAAAAAGGAGCATTATAGGACTCGGGTGATGGGAGTTTGTTCCTTGATGGTCTTAAAGGAAGAAAATTGTGGGGAAAGGTGAGAGCCACTACTGACCTGGCTAAAATAGTCGCCCACTTCATTAGCTAAAGCTATATGATAGAACATTGATATACATATTTCAAGACAGATAAAACCTGAGATATAAAAATAGATGCAGAAGTATACATCTATAGGAACTACCTTCCAGTGAAGCATATCAAAACACATGAAGACTCTTCTTAATTTCACATTTTTAACCTCAATTCCTGATTATTTTGATAAGAAGTAGTAAGAAATAGGAGCAGGCTTCATAATATGAAAACAGGCTGAGTGTGATATTTCAGATGCCTTGTTAAGTTTGTGTGTGTGATTGTGTGCAGCATCTGTTCTTATTCACCAACTTCAATTTCGTTTATTTTTTTTAAAGCTTTATAATAAATCTCTGAATACAAACTTCAAGGCTTTTGAGAATTCAAGAAATGTATCACAGAACTTTTGAAAATATTACCTTTTAGCTTGTGTGACATTTCATATGTCTTGGTCATTTAAGTGTGTTTGGAGGCATGCACATACTATCACACACCTCATATTACGAAGACTGAGTAGGAGCAAAAAGAGGATCTACTAATGTTCTTTATCAACAGTTTATTATTGAGAGAAACATTTGTCTGACACAATACTACAAGGCAATGTAACAAGTCTGGCATTTACTACTGCATCATTTTTAGGAGTGATATTACTTTCTGCAAACAATAAAAATATGATATCCTTTAAAGAATTATATTCTGATCATCTTTGCTGCAATGAAGAAGAAATAGAAAACTGCATGATTAAGGCAGACAATCACAGAAATATATTTTGCCTGATTGCTAATGACAAGCACCGCTGATATCAAGTAAATGCAAACATTCAAGTAACTAAGCTTCAAAAGCTGCAGTATCAATGAACAAATATTATTTTTCTCTAAATAACTGAAAGTATGAATCAAAATGCTAAGAATTCTCACATACACACATTTCAAATTCATATCATACCTTTGAGCAATCAGTAAGTACTTATATCTAAGGAATGCAAAGCAACAGTCCTTAACCTTAAATCTATTATGACAAGTTTAGTCTTTCATTTATATATAGTTTTTAGCATAAGTGTAAATGTAACAGCAAACTAGGCAACATGAGGTGCAGTATCTAGCTCTATACACTGGCAGGATGTGTTAAAAAAAAGGCAAGAAAGAGCATATTTTAAAGAGAAGAGAAGAGAAAAGTGAAAAGCCGTAAAAAGTGAAAGAGAACTGTGAATACAAGATAAATTTTATTTTTCAATGTAACTTTTCATAAAAACTAGCTTTACCTGATGTGCATATGACAGTACATTACAAAGACAATATCACATTCCTAAAGTTACTAGCAAGCAACAACATCTATACTCAAAATAGAAACAGCATCTTTTTTCATGCTTTAAAACACCCACACTTTCATTCACACTTCAAATGATTATTCATATACTTTAGCTTGCAAAAGCAGGTAAATCTTATTGTTTTTGTAAAAAAAAAAAAGCAAGAAACACTGTATGAATATAGTTCCATATTCATTATTTGGACTCAGTATATTTGTTAAAATTGTGGGAGGCCCAGCCCAATCAACATTCATCATACAGCCATGAATCAGTCTAGACATGCACATCTATTATATGTATAGATAGATAAATGTATATATATCTGATAGATAGTCAGATATGCATTTATTTATCTGTATATACATGTCTTTATATGCAAATATTCTTTGGGTCAGGCCTCACACAATTTTAACAAACCAGCCGAATGTAAACATTATGAAGTATCAGTCCAATTTGACATGAATCAACACTTTTCTACAGTGAGTTTAAAACTATATGGTACTTTATCATACTTAATATTTTTATGTAAATTGTCATTGGAAATAGAGGAGGAGGAGGAGAAATGGGAGAAAGAGAGGAAGAGGAGGAGGAAAGGGGAACAGGAAAGAAAAAAATGAATGAACATGGAAAATAAGAATAAGAAAATACATGGTAGTAACCTAGAAAGATGAAGATAGAGCAAAAATTTAAAAAAGGATCTGTGGTAGTGAAACACAACCCAAAAGAAAATCAAATACCAAACTGCAAAGTATGCAGGCCAGGATCTACCACTTACAAATGGGTTAACGTCTTTAATTCAAGGGGGATATTCTTTAGGAATTAAGATAAGGAATAGTCTTTAAGAAAATCTATTTAAACTTGAAATAAATGCTACATCTACAACTATAGGATTGAATATAAATCCATCTCCTTATAACAAATATAACATTCAATATGCACAATGTGACAAAAAAGGTAACATACTAAAATTTGTCACAAAAATTGTAAGTGTTAACTATTCTGACTGTACTTGACTCTGCTTAACCCTACACTGACGGGGCCAGAATTTTCTGTGTGGCACTCATTCCAGCGAATACTGACAACTGTCTGGCCTTTCCAGGAGGGTGTTCATTGTGTATGAGTCATGGAACATATACATGTGCCCATCATGAAGGGTCATATTTCCATGACATCTATAGCTGTGCCCGTCAGCAAAAGGTTAAGAGCTTCATAACTAATATATATATATGATTTTTTAAACCTCTGGCTATATTCAACTCTGCTATATGGATGCAACACTAGCATCCTTTCAAGCAAGAAAAGAAAGTATACAAACAAGTTTTGATGACTGACAAATCTATGAATGTGATGCATCTATCTTTTTGTTAATGATAACATAACTATTTGAAACAGTTTTCTGAAACCCTGTAAACATCAATTTTAATATTTGAGTAAATTTGTATACTAATCACTGATTTTCATTAAACTTCACACTGAATGAATAAACACTTCCTCTACTCTTATCATTATACAGAACTAATATACAAAACCACAAAAGTGCCATGGAAAGGAAGTATCATATCAAACACAGAAAGTATATTTTGCTATGAAAATTATTCAGTGCACCTTCTCTCTTAATTTTAAATGTGTTAATCACAAATAACTCCTTTTTTATTACTTATTCTTGAATATT